TGTAATCCCGGCGGAAAACCTGCAATTTTTTTTGGTGATGCAGTCTAATGTACCTACATATATCGTAGACTTTTTTTTACAATTTTGTAGCAAAGTAAAAAATTGAGAACATTTTTGCTCAGTAATCATTAATTAAATACATCAAAATCACTTTTATGCCATGTGATACTAGAAAGCGCTCATAGAATTAACAAAAAAATTGTTCAATAGCATTTATTAAAAAGCGTCAAAGTCCAACTTTTCCAATTTCGTTATTACAGTGGACGAAAACTTTATAGCCGCCCCACATATTGATAAGTTTTAACTTTTATTTTTTTGTTTAATTTTACTTATTTTTTTTTTAATATAGTTAATTTTTTAACAAAAGCCAAGTATCAGGTTTTATACTATATTAAAAAAACGACTCAACAAACTTTCAAAATGCTAAACCATTACGTCGTCACTTAAAAGACTCCTCAAGTAGCACACTGGTGCATAAATTGGTGTAAATTTATGGATTTTGGTACAAATCTGATTAAATTGAATAAAAAAAGAACATTTTGGTGTATTTGTTATTCCACCAGTATTTCTTTCAAATCAAAATTCTACCTTTAACATTTTGCTACTATTTATTCATTGAGATAACTACGAAAATTACACCAGCTCCTAAAATGCGCCACTTTTTTCATTTGGTTCACAAATAGCTCCACGTTAACAAATGTCATTGAAATTATTCAGGCGACATTCTGAGTAGTGATGTGCTGAATTCTCGGTACCCAATACTTGAAAAAAATTTCGGTACCCAATACTTCCTTTTCGGTACCTTTCGTCATTATATCTGTGCCGTTCAATTAAAGTAGCTTAAGTCACTTTAGATGGTTTGACTTTGAATTAAAAAAAAATCATCAGTTTCCTTTGAAATTGTTTTATATTTTAATTAAGATTCTATTATAGGGGCATCTTGAACTACATCTTTGGCTATTTAAACGTTAAAATATTGTTTGGGAATCCAATGAAATGTGGATTTAAAGGGAAAAGGACCTATCTCGACATAGGCTACTTTTGGGGGTAAAAATTATTGATATTTTATAAGACATCGCCTAAAAACCCAAAATGTACAAATAAGACGGTCCTTTCTCAAGAGATGAGCAATGTGTTTGTATGTATGTAGTTAAGTGAAGCAAAGTATAATGTGTGCGTCGAACAAGGCAGGCAATTAAATCTGCACAATAATGATCAAGGCGAATTTAATAAGGTGGTGTTAGCCGTATATAAGTAAAAAATTACACTTACAAATTATACGCAGATATTCATACTGTCATTAGTATGAACTACAACAAACACGTAATTTTGATGTAATGTCCTCCACGGCGAAAAATTCAGATACGCCGGTAACACCACCTTATTAAATTCGCCCTGATACTGATGTCGCAAAACACACTCTCGCCTTCTTTTACTTATCGCAACCGTCTTTCCAATTGCAATAGTTCTGGTGGCAATATTATTTATTTTTAATAGCTGACACTATATGTATGTGTACATATAACTCATATTTTTGGCTGTTGCGCGCTTTTATTAGAAATTCCAAGATTTCGGTACCGAGCATCGAAAGTATTTGATACTTTTTAAATCGGTACCGAGTATCGATCAATACTTAAAAGTAGCGACTCAGCACATCACAAATTCTGAGAGCAATTGACAGTGGACCAAAGAATTCACCAAAAAATGAATATTGAATACACCACACAGTAGCTTTGTTTCTTTACAGATAGGCGCATTTACACAAGGTAGTGTTAGCCGAATATAAGTAAAAAATTACAAAAGCAAATTACAAGAAACACATAATTTTCACGTTATGCGGTGAAAAATTCAGCTGTTGCTCCAACATTAGAGAGATTAGGCACAGCTACTTTGATTTGCTTCTTTTACATATTTTTGTATTTTTTGATAAAAATGGGCGATTTATTAAATTTGATAAAGTGTGGCAAAACCTGAGTATTTGTGAACAATTTTTAAACATAAAATGCGATTAAAAATTCGCAGCAAATACATATGTTCAGTTGTCAAAAGCATCGGTCAGGTGTTTACTAGCTAGTTTCTGCTAGTTTGCGTTTCTTGACTTTTTCTATATTTCACTCGCTGTGAGCGTAATTCTGTAATTCTTCCCATTCTTCTTCCTGATAAAGATCTGCTAGGAAAGTAAAGAAACAAAGCTAGTGTGTGTGCACATAATACGCTGCCTGTTTTAATATGAGCTTATTATACATACCACAAGTAGAGCTGCTATCAGTGTTACCGTTTTGATAAATTGGTAGTTTCATTTCAGGGCTGTTCTGGTTTCGTTCGAAATTGATTTCTCATCGATTTGGATTTCCGATTCCAAATTTTAAAGATGTTTTGCAATCCTATCAAAGTTTTGAAGTTATAATAGAAAATAAATCCTATTCGAAATGTCAAAAATGCATTGAGCTGTTGTTGCATAGTATTCGTTTATTAGAACATTTGTAAAAATTTTAAATAAATTTTGTTGAATGGCGGTAATACAATGGTGATGTGAAAGTAGAAAAGCGTACTGAAAGCGTGCTAAAATGGCTTAAAACTCGTACCGAAATATTAAGATTATGTTGCTGACATTCCGTAATTTTATTGCATCATGGTTAAATGAAAACAAATAAATAAAAATAAAATTGCGCGAGCACAGTAATACATTTTTTTTGTTACCAAATATAAAATGTTTATATCGATTGTATTTTTTTTTAATTTTAGACATAAAATAATTGATATAAATTGAATTAATCTCAAAGATTCATACTTTTGCATGAAGTAAAATCAGAAACGAAATAAAATATCAATATCTGATGATTAAAAAAAATTGGTAGTTTGGAAACTGATTCGGTAGGATTTTTTGTTCCTAAAAATATTGTCGAGTGGTAACACTGGTTGGTATATTTAATACACCAGTGGTGAAATATGCATCAATAAGGCACCCCTACACGCTTAAAGTTTGTTTGGGTACTAATGATTCAACATCATGCCTTCACAAATGCAGCTATAAGTTGCATAGTATATATGAGTACGAACAACAGCGACAATTTTTTCTACATAACATAGGCGAACGCTGATTTGATTTCTTCTTTTCGTACGCGAACGTTAACAAAACATGTTGAAATGTATACGTTCGCGTTTGCGTTCGAATAATGGACGTGTGGTAGGCGCTTAAACTTCTGTCAACTGTGTTCATTTGGCAAGAAACATTTTTTATACCAAATTCTCAAACTGAATTGTGTCTAGGGCAAAATAAATACACCGTTCTTGGCTTGGTAAATATTTTTGTACCAAACTCAAGAATCTGTGTAAGTTTTCAACGACGACCATATTTTCAAAGTATTATAAAAGTAAGGCTAAGTTCACAACCTAGAGTAATAGCGTTACGCGATGCAATGGAAATCGCTCAATCCAAAGAAACTTCTTCGCCAGCATAATCGCTGGCGATTAAAAAGTAGCTAGTGTTTAAATTGCAGCAAAATTATACACGACTAATTTTTTATAATAGGGGAGTTTACGATGAGTAGCATTTTAGATTTAAAGTTGCTACGTACCAATCTAGCACATATTTTGTTGTTGGGAAAGCAACAAAACGTGTGATACATTGCTACGTAGGGATTCCCCTAATATATTTTTTTTGTTTCCACAACCCTTTGACAATTTATACCGAAACTTAAGCATATTGTATTGTATATAATAGCAGTAGAAGAGATGTTTAATTTATTATATAAATATGTACATATGTATATTTTTTATTTATTTGGGCTTTAAGTATGAGAAAAAGCTTTTTTTAACAAACTGCATAATTTTTATTTGCTTGCACAGCGATAAACACCAAAGACTGTGTAAATGTTGGTTAGAAGCGATTTTTATGTATTCTCGCTACGCTAATACGTTAGGTTGTAAACTTAGCCTAATACTGAAACTCAGCTGGACGCCATATTAAAGCTGTATGACTATTATTTAACTAATTTAACAATTTCATTATGTACATTGGCTCAACTATGCCACTTTATGTGTATTTTCGAACCTTTTTTAAACAGCGCATCTCTTAAAAATTTAATAATGGCGAAAAATTCATTGCTTTCAAAATATAAGTTTTTCCAGATTTATTTAAAAATCATCAAATCCTTATAAATTTTGAGGCGCTCGAGTTTTAGAGGGGGTAGTACCGAAATTCACTCGACAGAATGTACCTCGTTTTTAAATTAGGAACTCACATTCATATATATTCGCGATTTTCTTGCCTGCATATTACGAAAAGGAATGCTGAGATTTATAAAAAGAATTCCAAGTCGCGCAGATTAAAAAAGAGCTTCGGTGTAAATTTTATGTCTGAGTTAATTTTAAATTTGATTAGTAGTAAATTTTATTCCTCGAATCTTTTCGTACTCTTCACACTCATGGGAATATATTTATGCTAGAATATGATGTAAATAATTTACCATTATGGTGTATGATTTGAGCCAATTATGAGTACGCATTTTACATCAACGGAGTTTATTTTATGTTCTAGAAACAAGAAAACTTGTATACCACTGGCATAATATATATACAGAAAATCAGTAAAAAAAAATTACGGTAGGTGTAAATAATACACGAAACAGCGGTATAACCTTTACACTGAATCGAAATAAACTGTTCAAAAACTGCGCTTAGAAATGGCATATTTTTTATATTGAAAATGTATATCACGTCGATGTAAAAAATACACAAAATATTTTGGTGTATTTCTGACTTTTGTGCTACTTGAGTCTAGGTCTCAAAATTTTAACGTAAGTAACTATATATTTTATTTATTTTTTATTTTAATTCAGTAGCTTATATACGAAAATTGGGCATATTAAATAAACCTAAATCAGTAGTATATAAAGATCTATTGACCTTTTCTGTAAATATTCAATCTAATGCTAAATGTGCGTTTGACTCATAAAATTTTGTCTCCATAAAATTTCCCATATTTAAAAATATTCATAAAGTTATTTTAGTTTTATAACCTTTCATCTTAAAATGAAAAATTTCTCATTGCCAACCGCTTAATACATTTTTCCGTTGGGCGTATCATCATTTGCGCAAATTTCAAGGACTCATACATTTGTATGCCATTCCAAGTTACGCCTTGGCCGTTGTCTTTTTGAGAATAGTCGCCATTCAAGTTGCTGAAACAAAAAAAGGTTGGGAATACATAAATATTTTCAAATGTATGCGTAAAGTGCTGAATGTAATTCAATTCACCAGTGATAACAATCGTGATACCACCAAGCTCCTCTATATTTTTCAGCGCAACTACCAACTGGTTTGTCATCATTATCTCGATCAAATGTTGTGAATTTTTCACCCTCGTGAGGCTTGAAACAATCTTCAGCATTTCCTGTGTAATTACCAAGGGTTCGCAAAACATAATCTTCCTCTTCGCTACCAATGACGAACAAATCATATTTTGCATAGTACTTAGTGCCATTGGATGCTTCCATTTTTATATACAACTCTTGTTCACAACTCGCGGTTAGAGCGTGTAATTTATTCAAACCAATCCAATAATTGTCCGACAATTCACCAAATCCTTGCTTATATTGTTCCCAATTTCGATAGAAATCCAATTCAGCACTTATGCGTCGCTGGATGACAATCCAACCGCCAAAGTCGGTATCCTCATCACACCACACCTTGAATGGATCATCACCAAATCGCTGATATTTTATAGTATAAATCCCACTTTTAAACGAGCCAGCGGCTGCTTTCATACAATTGGTGGGCAGACTTTGGCTATTCGATAAGAAACGAAATTTTAAAAATTAGTTAACCTTGGAACTGTCAACTTTGGCACCACACCGCGTACTCATTACCTTTTTCGCTCAGTTTGTAGGCGCAAATTTTCTGCCTGCATTTGCTTTACAATTTGTTGCAACGACTTTAATTTAGTGTTAAAGTGTTCAAACATACCTATTTGCAGATCACAGTCGTAGGCGCAAATATCTTCCAATTCATTACTTCGACTCAAACAAGGTTTTAATACAAAAATTAAAATAAAGTTCAGTAGTATAAACGTTTTAAGATGCATATTTTCAGAGCACTGCAAATTTTAGCGATTCGCACAATCAACTGGATAAAACAAGACTGAGAGATGTGCTGCTAATGAAGAACTTTTGCTTTCTTAATAATATATATGCGTACATACAAATTCCTGAGATATAAATATAATTTTGTATATATACATATTTATATGTACATTGTGGTTTCAAATATTCATACGATAAACATAAAACTATATGATTGCCCAAATGGAATCATTGCTTTTTTGTTTATACAACCGAGAACATTTGCGCTCGCGCAACATTAAAACTTTGTTGGCATAACAGCATCAAGAAATCGAGAAAAGGAAACATAAATACAAATGTAAATAAACTTCGTCTTCTTCTTCTTATTTGGCGCTGTAACCGCCTAAGCGATTTTGGCTGAGTTCAAAAAAGCACGCCAGTCATTTCTCTTCTGAGCCAACTGACGCCAATTGGAAATGCCAAGTGAAGCCAAGTCCTTCTCCACCTGGTCCTTCCATCTCAGTGGGGGCCTTCCTCTGCTACCACCAGCGGGTTCCGAGTTGAAAACTTTCAAAGCAGGAGCGTCGGTATCCATTCGAACGAAATGACCAAGCCAGCGGAGCCGCTGTATTTTAATTCACTACGCTATGTCTCTGTAGCTGTAAAGCTCATTCAGCTCATCGCTCCATCGTCTGCGGTACTCGCCGTCGCCAACGCGTAAAGGCCCATAGATCTTCCGCAAAATCTTTATCTCGAATACTCCAAGAGCCGCCGCATCGGATGTTGTCATTGTCCATGCTTCTGTGGCATATACCAGCACGGGCATGATGAGTGACTGAGAGGACGAGAGAAGACTTTACTCCTGAATTGCCTACTCAGTCTAAAGTAGCGCCTGTTGGCCAATGTGATTCTGCATTGGATTTCCATGCTGACATTATTATCGGTGTTAATGCTGGTTCCCACGTAAACGAAATTCTCTACTTTCTCGAACTGTCAACAGTGACGTGGGTGCCAAGGCGCGAATGTGCTGACTGTTTTTTTGATGACAGGAGATACTTCGTCTTGTCCTCGTTTACCACCAGACCCATTCGCTTTGCTTCCTTATCCAACTTGGAAAAGGTAGAACAGACTTCGCGGTTTTTGTTACCGATGATGTCGATGTCATCGGCATAAGCCAGCAATTGCACGCTCTTGTAGTAAATTGTTCCTGAGCGGTTCAGTTCTTCTTATTATCTTCTCCAACATCAGATTAAAGAAGTCACATGAAAGACAGTCGCCCTATCTGAAGCTCCGTTTGGTGTCGAACGGCTCGGAGAGATCTTTCCCAATTCTGACGGAGCTGGTGGTATTGCTCAACGTCATTTTACACAGCTGTATCAGTTTGGCGGGGATGCCAAATTCAGACATAGCGGCGTACAGGTAGCTCATTTTAGTGCTGTAGAAAGCGGCTTTAAAGTCGACAAATAGGTGTGGTGAGTGTTGATCCTTTTCTCGCGGGTCTTTTCCAAGATTCGGCGTATTGTGAATACCTGGTCTATGGTGGATTTTCCAGGCCTAGAGCCACACTGATAAGGCCCAATCAGTTCATTGACGGTGGGCTTCAGTCTTTCACACAATACGCTCGATAAGACCTTGTAACCTATGCTTAGAAGGCTGATCCCGCGGTAGTTGGCGCGAATGGCGGGGTCGCCTTTCTTGTGGACTGGGCAGAGCACACTTAAATTCCAGTCGTCGGGCATGTGTTCATCTGACCATATTCTGACCAAGAGTTCATGCATGCACTTTATCAACTCCTCGCTACCGTACTTGAATAGCTCAGCTGATAGGCTGACAGGCTGTCAGTTCCAGCAGCTTTGTTGTTTTTCAGCCGCGTTATTGCTATTCGTACCTCGTCATGGTCAGGCGGAGGAACATTGACTCCGTTATCATCGACTTCTCCACAACTTTCCGTGCTGCTACCATTCAGTAGCGTGGAAAATTGTTCCCTCCATAATTTAAGTACGTTCTGAACATCAGTAACTAGGTCGCCATTATTGTTCTTACAGGGGTACGCCCTGGTCTTGAAACCTTCCGTAAGTCGCCTAACTCTCTGCTAAAATTGTCGGGCCTTCTTCCTGTCGGCCAGCATTTCAAGATCTTCGCAATCACGTATTTCGGCCTCTCTCTTCTTATTGAAGTTATCTTTATTTTATACTACTACGTACCAGAGCTGTTAAGTAATGATTATAAATTGTAATGATTACAGATTTAAATCATTATTTTTTTTAAATTTGAGAAATTATTAATTACCATCATTTCCACTTTTAAATTAATTATTACCGATTACCATTAAAAAGAATAAAAAATAATCATAAATTTAGCAAATTAGAAAAAAAATTAAAAATAATCAAAAAAACTAATGGGATTAGTTTTACAATAAAATTATTTTTTTTTTATTATTTTTGATTATTTATAATTATGTAAATTATTTTAAACAAAATGTATTGTTCAGACGGAAAAAATGTTTTGTCGACAAACGTATGCATGTAACTGTGAAATACGTTCTTTCAAATGATGAGGTATTCATTAGGAATGTTAATCCCTAGATCCCGGGATCCCGGTCTTTTTTAAGTCTCGGAAATCCCGGGATTATTTGCCTGGAATCCCAGGATTTTCAGGATTTGTAAATTACACTGGTGGCAATAATAGAAACGCTTTATTCTCAACAGTTTTGCCTATATTTCTTTTTGTTATTTAATATTTAACATTTTTGCTTACAAAAAAATCAATATATTAGCCAAACCAAGGGCCAAATATAATAAAATTGCGTTCTTAATTTTTCTCTCTGATGTCTGGATTTTTTAAAAGAACTTTGAAATTTGAAGGATATGAGTAATGCAAAAAATGATTTAAAAATTTCAGTGGTTTCAAATGAAAGAGAAGATTCTGTATAGTTAAAACACATTACATTTTTTGGTGCGTAAGGGACGGGTAGGTATTGAAAATACCCTTTCATAATTTTATCCTCGAACATCCTTGAAATTTTTTAATTCTTATTTTGGAAAATGTTGTGTGTTAAAGACTAATTTTATTAGCTTAAAAAAATAAAATATATTAAAGGGGCATTTTCAATTCCTATTCGTCCTTGCGAACGTAAAAAAGTTATTATTTTGTTTATATTGCACTGAATTTTTTAAAATTATTTTTGAAATTAACCATATCTTTGAAATTATAACGGGATTGAACCAACGACATCCCGAAAATCCCGGGATCGTAAAAATCGAAACAATTAACATCCCTAGTATGCATTTATGTTAGATATGTATGTGTATTCCGCTACTTTAAGCATGTCATACCATCAGAAACCAAACAAGTATGTTTCTTTACAACGAAATCGGACAAATAATTAAATATTATTAAAAAATAATCAAAAGTAATCACCAATTTTAATCAACTACTTTTTTTTGAATATTTTCGATTATTATTGATTATTTTTTTAATGACAAATAATCATGATTGTTTTTTGATTAATAAATTAATTGAATTATTCATTACGATTACCGAACATATGTAATCGTTTTGATTAGTAATCGTTATCCAAAGTTAACAGGTCTGCTACGTACATATGTACATTAGACTGCAACACTCCCCATAATACAAAAAGAAAACAAATCGGTACGGTGTTTCCATTGGAATTATAAAATCTATTATATTTTAAAACTTCCACCAAAATGCTTCGGAAAAATATTAAGATTTAGGTGAGCTGGACCCATTTGAAAATACCTCCAAAAATAAAGTTTTTTATGAATAAAAATAGTTTCTTAAAGATTTAAAAAAAAAAAATCCCCTCAAACGAAAAAATGATTTAAGTTAAAAAAATTTGCATAAAAATATTAAAAATTATTAAAATTATTAATTTTCTACGGAATCGTAATAATGAGATTTTTGATGCTGTTTTTTAATTTTTTTAAAGATTCCGCTGAAAAGATTTTTAAATGTTTTTATGCAGATTTTTTAAGCTTAATCTGTTTTGCCATCCGAGAGGATTTTTTTCAAACTATTTTTATTCATAAAAATTTCCAATTTTGGAGGTACATGTTTTCAAATCGGTCCAGCTCACGTAAATCTTAATATTTTTCGGAAATATTTTTGGTGGACGTCTTCAAATATAAAAGATTTTGTAATCCCGGCGGAAAACCCGCAACTTTTTTTGGTGATGCAGTCTAATGTACCTACATATATCGTAGACTTTTTTTTTACAATTTTGTACCAAAGTAAAAAATTGAGAAAATATTTGCTCAGTAATCATTAATTAAATACATCAAAACCCATTTTATGCCTTGTGATACTAGAAAGCGCTCATAGAATTAACAAAAAAATTGTACAATAGCATTTATTAAAAAGCGTCAAAGTCCAACTTTTCTAATCTCGTTATTACAGTGGACGAAAAAATTATAGCCGCTCCACATATTGATAAGTTTTAACTTTTAATATAGTTCCCTTTTTAACAAAGACCAAGTATCAGGCTTTATACTGCATTAAAAAAAATTACTCAACAAACTTTCAAAATGCTCAACTTTTACGTCGTCACTTGAAAGACTCTAGGTCTCAAAATTGTAACGTGAGTAACTATATATTTTATTTATTTTTTATTTTATTCAGTAGTTTAAATACGAAAATTGGGCATATTAAATATACCTAAATTAGTAGTATATAAAGATCTCTTGACCTTTTCTGAAAATATTAAATCTAAAGCTAAATGTGCGTTTGACTCATAAAATTTTGTCTCCATGAAATTTGCATTATTTAAAAATATTCACAAAGTCATTTTAGTTTTATAACTTTTCATCTTAAAATGAAAAATGTTTCATTGCCAACCGCTTAATACATTTTTCCGTTGGCCGAATCATCATTTGCGCAAACTTCAAGGACTCACCCCTTTTTATACCGACCCAAGTAACACCTTGGCCGTTGTCTTTTTGAGAATAGTCGCCATTCAAATTGCTGAGAAAAACGGTATTTAAAATAGGTATGTATGTAAATCTATGCGTAAATGTGCAAAATACACTTCAATTCACCTCATATAACACTCTGTGTACCACCAAGCTCCTCTCCAACGTTCGGCACAATTAATACCAGGGTTTGCATCATTATCTCGATCGAATGTTGAGAACTTACTGCCTTTATGATACCTTAAACCGTGTCTAGCATTTCCTGTGTAATTACCAAGTGTTCGCAAAACATAATCTTCCTCTTCGCTACCAATGACGAACAAATCATATTTTGCATAGTACTTTGTGCCATTGGACGCTTCCATTTTTATATACAACTCTTGTTCACAACTTGCGGTTAGAGCGTGCAATTTATTCAAACCAATCCAATAATTGCCCGACAATTCACCAAATCCTTTCTTATATTGTTGCCAATCTCGATAGAAGTCCACATCCGCGCTTACTCGTCGCTGGATGACAATCCAACCGCCAAAGTCGGTATCCTCATCACACCACACCTTGAATGGCTCATCACCAAATCGCTGATATTTTATTGTATAGATGCCACTTTTAAACGAGCCAGCGGCTGCTTTCATGCAATTGGTGGGCAGACTTTGGCTATTCGATAAGAAACGAAATTTTAAAAATTAGTTAACCTTCGAACTGTCAACTTTAACACCACACTGCGTACTCATTACCTTTTTCGCTCAGTTTGTAGGCGCAAATTTTCTGCCTGAATTTGCTTTACAAGTTGTTGCAACGACTTTAATTTAATGTTAAAGTGTTCAAACATACCTATTTGCAGATCACAGTCGTAGGCGCAAATATCTTGCAATTCATTGTTTTGACTTAAACAAGGTTTTAATACAAAAATTAAAATAAAGTTCAGTAGTATAAACGTTTTAAGATGCATATTTTCAGAGCACTGGAAATTTTAGCGATTCGCACAATCAACTGGATAAAACAAGACTGAGAGATGTGCTGCTAATGAAGAACTTTTGCTTTCCTAATAATATACATGCATACATACAAATTCCTGAGATATAAATATAATTTTGTATATATACATATTTATATGTACATTGTGGTTTCAAATATTCATACGATAAACATAAAAATATATGATTGCCGTAATGGAATCATTGCTTGTTTGTTTATACAACCGAGAATATTTGCGCTTGCGCAGGATTAAAACTTTGTTGGCATAACAGCATCAAGAAATCGAGAAAAGGAAACATAAATACAAATGTAAATAAACTTCTTCTTCTTCTTCTTATTTGACGCTGTAACCGCCTAAGCGGTTTTGGCCGAGTTCAAAAAAGCACGCCAGTCATTTCTCTTCTGTGCCAACTGATGCCAATTGGAAATGCCAAGTGAAGCCAAGTCCTTCTCCACCTGGTCTTTCCAACACCTGGAGGAGACCTTCCTCTTCCTCTGCTACCACCAGCGGGTTCCGAGTTGAAAACTTTTAGAGCTGGAGCGTCGTTGTCCATTCGAACGACATGTCCAAGCCAGCGGAGCCGCTGTATTTTAATTCACTACGCTATGTCTCTGTAGCTGAAAAGCTCATACAGCTCATCGCTCCATCGTCTGCGGTACTCGCCGTCGCCAATGCGTAAAGGCCCGTAAATCTTCCGCAAAATCTTTATCTCGAATACTCCAAGAGCCGCCGCATCAGATGTTGTCATTGTCCATGTTTCTGCGCCATATAGCACCACGGGCATGATGAGTGACTTATGGAGTGTGGTTTTTGTACGTCAAGAGAGGACTTTACTCCTACTTGCCTACTCAGTCCAAAGGATTTCCATGCTGACATTATTATCGGTGTTAATGCTGGTTCCCAAGTAAACGAAATTCTCTACTTTCTCGAAATTGCAACTGTCAACAGTGACGTGGGTGCCAAGGCGCGAATGTGCTGACTGTTTTTTTTGATGACAGGAGATACTTCGTCTTGTCCTCGTTTACCACCAGACCCATTCGCTTTGCTTCC